ACGACGAAATATTAACATATCATCCGACTGTGAGACGGTAAATAACAGACATTCACAGTTCACTTCAGTAGTAATAATTTCGGGAGACTAGCATTGCTGCGTGTTACGATAACTGCCACAGTCGGACCGCCATATGCAAGCCTCACTCGCACGTCCGGGATGGTCATGAGCCATGCTATGAGCATACGCTCGAACCAACGAATCTAACGAACAAATCTGATTATCGCCACACAGTACATGCCAGGTTACCTAAAGCACATAGGCTGGCAGACTAGAACAGAGTGAACGTGGACCCAATTTCCAAGGTGGCTGTGAAGTCTAAAGAGGTCTTTGAATATTCAGCCAAACTGGTTTGTCTATCGAGGACATAACATCTCTTTTAGACCCTTACAGAAATCTAAACACATTTACTTCTAACACCTGCATTATGAAAAAAAACAATTTACGTTTCCACTTCGCATTATTAGCATATGCTTAACTCCTCAAGGTCAAAGATAATCATCAGTGACAGTCTGCTGATTAGAGACCGGCAGTGCTGTTTGATTTTGCCATGCCGTTGCACATCTTTCTGTTTCTTCCCTTTCTCATTAAAAGTGCAAACCTACGCGTAAGCTATTACTGTATTTAATTTGTACTATAGAGCCACGGTAACAAGAAGGTACCTTTGAATTTTTCTGCTTACTAGCCTAGTTTCCTTGTCCCATCTCATGTGATTACCTAGTCTAGGCTTCGATACTCGTGTGATCCGCAACGGTAGAGGTAAATCTCAGCTTAGCGTGTTAATATTCATTCGATTACCATGACCAAGGCATCAGAAGTACACCGGCAGGACATACTGGCGTCTCGCAGTTATGTGACCAACACAGGTCGCACGAAATCAAGCGTTGACCCAAGCTTTGACTTTCGGATAACAAGGTAGAAGCATTAGGTTTTCTACTGTCAGAATGGCCATCAATCTACGCAAACACACAATATGGCAAACAGAAACCATTAATTGTTTCGGGCTATGCTGTGAATCCTAGAAATACAAAGTACTCCAACATTGTCAGGGACACACGTGCGCTGATTCTTGGTGGTAATCAAATATAACAACGCTATTGGAATAGAAGTTTAGAGCACAAATCGTACAAGAGAAGCTCGAGGCGTTTATGCCAGTCTCCGACACGTGACGCCAGCCAGACATCTCTCCAGCCCAAAAGGGCAGAGTTTGTGATGCAGCCGCACGTTTATCTCTTTTGTATGCTTGCGAAACATGGGCCCTTAGATGACAGGCATAAGCAGGTTATTAACTTTCGATTATCGCTACCTTCGCAGCTTAGCTCATGTCTAATGGTCCCCTAGGTTGGGAGTTGGAATGAGTGTGGCACCAGATTCCCTAAAAAAGACTCCTGGTAGCCCACCACCAAAGCCGTTGCCTTGCGGAGAGGTTTTTGAACCAAAGGCTTTGGTTAGGAACCCTAATTGCTCTCCTGTCTAGGCCTTAGCAATCTGACAGTATCTTGCTCATGCAATACAACGAATTTTCTTCAAACCGTTTCCTGATGATCTGGCCGTCGCAGAGGATACTAAACGGCGCCCTATTTGCTGCATCGAGCAGGGTGGACAGGGGTTTGGATGCTACTGCTCAAGCCTTCCCGTCTTCTTATCCCCCTTCTTGCGCTTTTTCATCCATATCGTCCCGCTCCAACTTTACTTTTATCCCCCCATTTTCTATCCCCAGATTCTCGGCCCTCACCCAACATGCTTTGCTAGGCGTTTATCTTCTAGTTTCAACTCACATGCAAGCGCGGGGCGTCACTCCTGTCCTGTCGACAAGCCCATGTCCAAGCAAGCGGTCCACTTCAGTTCATCGGTTTTCATTTGGAGCCGTCGATCCTCCTTCAGATTGGCATGCCTCATTGTACGCACATTGCTACAGATCGGTCAACAGGCAGCATTTGTCAGAAATGCAGAGACCATCTCCATCGATATCTGCTGCTTATCAGAGACCCGCCTCCAAGACTCGAGCTCAGTGCTCACACTACAATCCCCTTCAGCTGACACCAACAACAGTTTCTCATTGCGCCTATCCGGTGACGATACAGCTTCGAGCACTGGCCAACCTGGTGTTGGTATTGCCCTGCGTACCCGGACTGAAGCTGCTCTGATTGATTGGGTCCCAACTAGTAGCCGAATGTATGCGGTCCGATTGTCCGGCTCGTTCAAAGCTTCGAAGTCGCGTGGGAGTAACAGGCGTCTATTCATCATCACTGCCTACGCGCCCACAAACTCTAGCGATGATTCGGTAAAAAAACGACTTTTACCGCCAACTGAACGATCTCCTTAGCCACAGAAGAAGCTCGGACACTGTAGTGCTGGCCGGGGATCTGAACGTTCAAGTTGGAAAATTATCCACTGATGAGCTGCATCTGGGTAGTCAAGACGGTGTAGGCTCCCGTAATGATAACGATCAGCGGTTACTTCATTTGAGCGAAAAAGCTCGCTTATTTCTTGCGAGCACTATGTTCGGACACGGCATTCGCCGGAGCGTGACATGGTGCGCACCAGCCTCGAACCAGCTATGGATGCAAATCGGTTACATTGCAATCAGTTACCGATGGAGAGGCAACGTGCAGAACTGTCGCTCGATTTGGAGCACATGTGTGGACACCGACCATGCACTTATATGTGCTGACCTGCGGATGCGTTTTGGAAGACGTCCAAGACGACGCTGCGAGCGCACTGACACCAGCCAGCTGTTCTGAATACATATCGAAATACACTGACACGCGGGTTGAGTAAGCGCTCACTGTAGACAACTGAAGGTCACTGGTCGCATGTTCACCAGTCCTTATAAGCAGCAGACAAATCCTTATGTGGTAAATCTAATAGCCCACATGGACATTGGGTCTCTTCGCAGCCTCTGGAACATGTCGATGCTCGCCGGCATATTCCGCCTGGAAGCGAACACAATGAAACTCGCAAAGAGTTCAAGGCAAAACTCCGTGCTAGATTGAGTAGAGACCGCGAATTCTGGTGGTCTCTACGTGCGTCAGAGATGGAATTGGCTGCTGCCCTTGGTAACAATCAAAAGTTATTCCCTCCGATACGGAAAACGGGTAGCAGGAGACCTGGTGTTAGTGAAACAATTTATGACGAGAGTGGACAGCCTATCCACAATTTGCCAAAACGTTTGAAGCGTTGAGATAAACACTTGGAAAAGTAACGTATTCGGCCGGAAGTGTACGATTCGTCATCGGCCAGTGATCGCCCGGCTCGCTGGGATGTCCCTTTGGATCCGCTCTGTCGCTCAGAAGTCAGTGAGATCAGATTGTTTACGTCGAACAAAGCCGCTGGACCAGAGGATCTTCGTCCAGCTCTCTTCAAATTTGGGGGAACTGTTCTAGTTGATGATTTGCACGAATTACTGGAGAAACTGTGGGAGCAGGGAACTGTCTCTACCGACTGCAGCCGCTCCGTTATTGTCTCCATCTTTAAAGGAGGCTCACGTTCGGAATGCGGCAACCATAGAGGAATCAGTCTGATCCCTATCGCCTCCAAAGTAACTGGTTCTGTCATCGTTCACAGACTGACTGGCGCTCATGAAAGCCAGATTCGTGCGGAGCAAGTCGAGTTTCGCTGAGGTCGTGGCGGCATCGACCACAACTTCACTTTGCGGAAATGGTTGAAGCACCGTCACACATATTGGCGGCCCCCCGTTGTTGTGTTCCTCGATATCAAAATTGATTGCCATTCGGTTGATCGAAGTGCCCTTTGGGACTGTCAACTAAGGAAAGGTGTTCCCAAGAAATATGCAAATATGATTCGAGCATTATATGCGCGTAGTTAGGGCAGAGTGAGGGCTTACGCCAGCTGTCACCGCCCTTCAATATCTCCAGCGGTGTGAGACAACGATGCCGTAGTCACCATTCGTTTTCAACCGCTTTTGACGAAGTCATGAAGATTGTATTTACTGGACACAAGTTAGGAGATCGACTTTATGACTTGGAGTAGGCAGACGATATTGCCCTCATCTGTGACCGCTCCCAGAAGTGTTAAGCTGCACTAGACAGATTAGCACTGGATGTCGGTCGCTTCGGGCATTCCTTTGCACCATCGAAGTGCAAAGCTTTCATCAAAGATTGGCAGGGATCTCCTCCTGCGCTGACCTTTGGAGGGGATCAGCTAGAAGTCGTTCAGAAATTCAACTACCTGGGAGGTTGTATCAGCGCTCTTGTGATCGAAGATGAGATCACGAACCATATAGCAAAAGCTTGAAGTGCTTTTGCTAGTCTTCGCCACCTATGGCGGCAGAGCGACATCACTCTCGCTCTGAAGGGCAGAGTGTACAATGCAGCGGTACGTTCGACCATACTGTACGGTTGCTAAACCAAGGCCTCTTAGATCAGCGAACATAAAGTGGCTAGTTACGTTCGACCATCGGTGCCGTCGCAGTTTGGCACACCTCTGGTGGCAACACCACGTGAGCAACGAGCGTGTTCGACGCCTTGTTTACGGTACAGGAAAAGGAACTGAACCGCTCAGCACCGTCATTTAACGCACCAGGCTCCGATGACTCGGCCACGTGTTGCGCATGCCTGCTCACCGGCTCCCGCGACGTGCGTTGTTTGCTCGCCGGGGTGTGGATGGAAGAAGAGGAGAGGTGGCCAAGCGATGAATTAGTCGAGAGAAATGAAGGCCATCACTTCTGAGCTGGCCTCGATTGGAGCGTTGCGGCTACCTGGTTAGGGTCCAAAAGACGATGAAGACGTTTGGCTAGAGACCACCGCTGACATAGCTAGGAGCCGACCTCGGTGGCGTTCCTACTGTGAGTTTCTTTGTCCCTCCCCATCCATTTTATAATCCCCCTCTAACAACGATCTCAGATCGTAGCATAATAAAATTTTACATAATAACTTTTTGTTGCCTAGTAGCCGGCTGGCAGCTTTGCGGAACCAGGCCCATCCGTTGCTCGTACCTCAGCTGGTGTGCAACTTTTTCATTTTTTCCTTTTGTCCATTATGTATTGCGGCCCTGTAGCTGAGGTGTTTTTACACTGCTAGCTACCGTGAATAATGAAGATGATGATGGGAGCACCGCATGAACAATGAGCGTACTCGGCGTTATGTATTTCGTGTAGAAAGAGAGGGAGCAGCTAAGCACCGCAATTTTAAACACCAAGCTCCGACGGCTGAGCCAAAGGTTGCGCATGCGAACACACCGACTTCCGCGACGTGCGTTCATTGTGCAACAAAGGAAGGGGAGGCTAAGCGATGACTTGGGCAAGAGAAAGAAAGTCCCTCATTTAGAATGCGCGGTCGGTTGGAGTCAACTGATTGCCAGGCTGGTGACCGAAGCATGATGAGGTCGGTTCCTAACCATGAAATTTTTTGTAATTCTTATGGTTAGGAACCGATTTCAATGGAGTATGCGTTGTATCCTTGTCACTCCCCATCCCGCTTATCTTCGCCGCCCAACCAAGATTTCTCGTTTGAAGCACGGTGTTGCTATTTTTCGCATTCTATAAAGTTTAGTACCCTACTCCTTCGTTATTATCATCCCACTCTTATGCGGCACAATAGGTGAAGTGTGTATCCGCATGCAGCTAATGTGTAATAATGATGAAAGGTGGCTCCGAGCTTCCGCGCAGCATCTCGCAATGCAAGCAGGCTCGAAAAGCATCTATCAGTCGGTTACCTTTGCCAGAAAACTATTCAGTCGGTGCGTTAATCACATACTTTTCCGTTGGCCCGTGGCCGAAAGGATTGCACTCAAGGATTGCAATTCTTAGACCACCGGCTTGAATAGGTGCATGGGTAGGTGTCCTAGCGGTATACTCAGCCAACGCGCGACCGGCGGTGGTCGCGTGGCAGCGATGCGTCGGTACAATGTGCCGGCGTACTGCTAATGACTGTCTTTTCACACTTTACCAGCATTGCAGTCTAGGAGCCAGTTTGCTAACTGGTGTCACCCGTCAACATCCCAGAGTGGGTCACATAACGACCACATAATTGTAAAACACCGATGGCATTCAAGCATTCGAGACTGCAGATACAGTTTGGTCAACGTACGTCAATCCTGATCACTCAAATGCACCTGCGACTATTTGCCTGTGCTTCAGGTACCGAGTCTCATATCAAATCTAACGAATGCGAATCACATGCCAACAATCAGATAGTCTGAGAGTTATATGATGCAAACAGAAATAACAAAGCAGCCAAGAAAGCCATATCTCAGTTACCGTAGACAAATGGTTCATAATACTAACAAAGCTTCGCGCCAATCGCCTAAAAATATCCCATGAAAACACGATAACATTAACGTACATATCAGTGTAGGAAAAGAAAGAATCGGCAGTAAGCCTGCACAATGGACTGACGTTCGATGACACGCGAACAACACAAGTAGCACACGGGATCACTTTAGCAGGAAGTCATCCGATCCCACGCGGATTCGAAGCAGTGACCTAAATATCCCATGACAGATTCGTAATCCGCTCGACTACAGACCACTGGCTGCGGGTCAGACATGCATCGCTTTAACGGATGTTGCCTAATAACACGCCATATTCACTAGGAAGAAGAAACCGTAAAACGTCGACTGTCAATTATCAGTCGATGAGAACAGATTAACAGACTGCGTTTGAACTTCCAAAAGAACGAAATCCAACTCGCGCAATATGCAGCGCTACATGTAATATAACACGTAACCTGGGCACATGGTGCAACATAAAGAGAACACACGCGTAAAAATTCAGGCAGCTTGTTGTTAAGGCACAAGAAAAATATCATAACCGGCAGGCGATATTGTTGGTGAAAGGATTTCTCACAGTACTCACTGGAATGCGGCCGATCTGAAACCATAAACAAGGCAGAACCGTGCAGACAGAATATGAATGCAAACAGGAAATGTGAAAAAATTAACAATAGTAAGAAAATAAAACCAGGTCCACAATATATACTTGCACTATTTATGACGAGGGACGAACCGCGCTCATTCCGTCTGCATTCACTCCGTCAAACAAAATTTGCATCGCATGAAGCCATACCATTACAAGTCCCATCATCACTAACAACACAACTTAGCTGAGGGTGAGAAACACACCTCAGCTACTGTGCACCCACCCACACACAGAGACAGAAAAATATAAGTCCAATTAGCAAAGAGAGCTCTTTTCAATAATTCGCATCAGGCCATTAAAATTATGAGAAAGAAACAAGCAACGCGGTATGCTACTGAAAGCTAGATTGAGGACTGATGCTGTTTGAACCAGACCGGTAAATCGGATCGAGAATTAGGCCGATCCACCGGAGGTACGCTATGCAGCCGACGTTACGCTGCTAGTGTCGAATATCAAGGAACAGCCGCAGGGCCAAGGTAACTAGAGGGCTTGCAATAGGGCTTCCTACTTGCACCAATAAGGCTGGATCACCATAATAGCGAGCACCTCACTCGTCTTTAATAGACGCTTTCAGAGCGTTTTAGGGTGATGCAGCTGAACGGAGTAGAATACGCTATACGCGTCTGATATCCGGATTTCATGTCCATTCAGGAGCAAATGCCTCATGATAGCGCTATTGATGCTTCTAGGCAAGCCTCTCAGTAGCGACCAAAGGCAGTGTTCTCCTACCCGTTTTGAAAAACACCTGGCCGCGTGTCCAATATATCTTGCACCATAGATACAAGTAAACTGATATAGAACGCATGATTTAGAATCGACCGGGAGTGTGTCCTTCAGATGTTGGGTTATAAAATGGGAAATAAACCATGCAGGATACAACAACTATTTAAACATGCAGTAAAATGCTGACTATCATATTCGGGGCGGAGTGTGAGATCGAGATCGGAAAGGAAAGCGGAGCGGTGAGAACAAATAAGCAACATGAACGGAGCAGAAGTTAGCACTAGGACGATTCAACAAGTGTCCCAGTTCACAAAAATTAAATCCCTGCGGCACATGCACGCACGCGCTCGCAGAGTCTGAGAAAATACATCGCACGGGCAGTTAAATGCAAAGTACACTGAGTCCATTAATATACCGACTTGCGCATCAGAGTCGTAGTCGTGTCTCCGGAGGCCACCAAATAATTTGCTCCGGTTATCAGCGGAGTATTACACCAACTGATTGAATCACGAATCCATATTGGTTCTACATCCATCCTACAGAGTAATGTCGATACAAAAAATCCGGAACAGTTGACAAAAGCGGTAATGATGAAATCCTAACCCAGTATGCGTTGGCCCGGTGAAGTTGTTCCCAATGTGGCTACGATACACAGTGGTATAGAAAGACGTTGCAACCACAGGCAATCATAATGAGGAAGCGACCCTGGTGAGCTCCCAAACAACCGTGAAGCAATGCAATTCTTGGATCAATCGCCGTAACTCGATAACCATGCCAATCAATCAAAATCAAGCATCACGCGCGATCGCCTACCTCCGTGTGACGTGAGATGGAACTTCGCACAAATCCATGAGTCCCCATCGGTGTCCGCCTAACGAATACTAGAAGTAAATTATGTCCTAATAAAATGTCGCCACACTGGGCGACCGCTGATCCGGTAAGTAGTGTCTCCATGGCACTCCGTACGATGTCAGATTGGATGCTCGTAAAACGATTTCATAGGCGCATGCATGCGATCATCGATGTCCAGGTCATGAAATCTTCGAAAAAATCAAACATACAGAAACAGGACGTCGGTGAAATTCATCCGACGTGTGTAATAGCTCTTCACAGTGACGCAATTCAGCGCAACGCGAGAAATTCCAAATGGACTGACGTGGATAAGGATAAGCACACAAGCAAATGGTGAGAAACACCTTACCAAATGTGCCGCAATAAAAACAAAAGATATATGAAGTAAGAAAATAATTCTTGCATAGAGAGGTAGGGGTTTTGTTACCCGAAAACACTACACGCTACGACGCGTTCCGAGCTGAGTGAAAGGAGTGGTCACTCAGTGTCAGAATCGAAGTCCAGTCCTCTATACGTCGGATACCGTCGCGAAGAATCATCATCGTCGGATGCATTTTAAGCAAGAAACAGCTCATATAACCTGCGTTCTTCTAATGGTATGTAATGCAGTCAGAGCAAACAGCCAGATATCATGTGTTGCACATGATACACAACGCTCAGGTGGCTGCATAAATCAATCCACTAAAGTAGTGAACACTCGGAAATGACAAACGCAAGAAATAAATGGGGTTAAAGTCAAACCCGGCATCCCATTGCACACTCACTTAAATGTACGGAACGGATATGTCTCCGGAGTAGTTCTGTTCGAGAAAACCATTTATAACAGTAGTTGCACACGTTTGTTCGCGGATCTGAAAGGCAGAGTGATTAGTGAGGCGTCAACTTGGCGATATATAGCTAGGGAACAAAGTATTCACATTCAGTGGGAGTTCTCCAAACGCATCATCGATCCATAGCAGCAACAGCAATAGCAGTACACACAAAAACGTGGTGGCTTGAAAGCACAAAAAGCAGAAAATAAATGATGAAATATTAATGTATCATCCGACTGTGAGACGGTAAATAACAGACATTCACAGTTCACTTCAGTAGTAATCACTAGCAATGATTCCGGTAGACCGGCATTGCTGCGTGTCACGATAACTGCCACAGTTGAACCGCCATATGCAAGTCTTACTTGCACATCCCGGATGGTCATGAGTCATGTTATGAGCATACGCTCGAACCAACGAATCTGACGAACAAATCCGATTATCGCCACACAGTACATGCCAGATTACCTAAAGCATATAGGCTGGCAGACTAAAACTGAGTGAACGTCGACCCAATTTCCAAGGTGGTTGTGAAGTCCAAAGAGGTCTTTGAATATTTAGCGTAACTGGTTTATCTATTGAGGACATAACATCCCTTTTAGATCCTTACAGAAATCTATACACATTTACTTCGAACACCTGTATTATGAAAAAACACTTTAGGTTTCCATTTCGCATTATTATATTATGCTTAACTCCCCAAGGTCAAACGTAATTATCCGTGACAGTCTGCTGATTAGAGACCGGCAGTGCTGTTTGGTTTTGCCATGCCGTCGCACGTCTTACAAGTTTTTCGCTTTCCAATTAAGATTGCAAACATATTCGTAAGATGAGTACTGTATTTAATCAGTATTATAACCCACGTAGGCGAAAGGTGACGAGCTTGTCTCGTAATCTTGGGGGGCGGGTTCGAATCCGCGTAGGTGTGGGCGTCTTCGCGGCATAGCCAGCCTGCGTGCATCTACTGGTGGTCGCACGGCAGCGAAGTGCAGTTATGGCGTACAGATGATACGTCTTTTATGGAACTATGGCAACAGGAATTTAAGTTTTAAATTCGCTGTTTAAATTTACTAGCCTGTAGTTTCCTAGTCCCATCTCATGCGATTGCCTAATCTAGGCTTCGTTGTCTTTACAGTGGGTATGATACTCATGTGATCCGCAACAGTAGGGGCAAACTTCAGTTTAGCGGGTTAACATTCATTGGATTACAATCGCCCAGGAATTCGAGGTATGCCGGCGTGGCATACTGCCGTCTCGCTGTCATGTGATCAATACAACTCGAGCGTGGGCTGTGTAGATCGCGAGGTCGTTTACATGTACACGGATTCGAACTGGTGACATCAGGATTAAAAGTAAGCACGCGTAACTTTCGTTCCGCAACTGAATTTTCAGAGTCAAATTCCCGGCTGATGAAGGGCATTATAGTAGATCACAACTGAAGTGTTGGTTGATTTCAGCCATCGAACGCTATTATGGAGGATCACAAATGATGACATCCGTATAGATAAGTGAGGAAGATGTTATGTTACGGATATCCGAATCACGGACCATCAACTTTCAAATAAAGAATTCGCATCAAAACTTGTAACTATCACAAATGAAATGGAAGTGAGTACATAGTTCAATACAAACGACTTCTTGGATGGGTATATGCTAATATAAGCAACCAGAGGTCACGAAAATGTTGCCATAAGCAAAAACTAAGGCAAAATACATTGGATGGATTCCAGCCAATGACATGCAAGCTGGGTCTGTTCGAGCTTCCGCTCAGGATACCAAAATGCAAGCGGGCTCAGAAAAGCATCTATCAGCCAGTTGTCTTCTCAGAAAAGTGTTCAGTCTGTGTGCTGATCACACTTTTCCTCCCCGGCACTCTGAGCGCCACCTGGTGTTCTCCGTCAAAATCCCAGTGTTGGTCGCAGAATGACCACAACGACGTATATCACCGGTGGCGTTGGAGCATTTGAGGCTGCAGATCCTGTTTGGTAAACCTACGTCAAGTCTGATGACGCACTTGCGCCTGCGACCATTTACATGTGCTGCTGTTGCCGCTTAAGATGCAGTTAACAAACAATGACAAACTGGACAGCGCAACGGTGCGAGCGGAATGTCAACGGAAGCTCCCGAAAATCGTCGGGAGGTGGACCAGCATTCGTGTAGGTTATAAAAGATCATCCTTTATCGCATTTAACCCCATGCAGCTATGTACATCATAAAACTACAAAGGTTAGATTTCAGCAATATAATCGGAAGCGGTTGACATCGATGGACAGTGCTCCCTGATACAGATCAAATATTAAAGCGTCTGCGTTGTAAAAGTGACTCCTGCGGTCCTCAACAATCTAACGAAAGAGAGATTGCTGCCTGCAGATTGCTACAGCTCAACAAAACAGTTGGATGCAACTCACATCTCAGCAATCCGACAGTCTGAGAGTTAGATGGTGAAAACAACGACAATCAAAAAGCAGATAAAGAAAGTTTTGGTCTACTGTGAACAACTGGTCCATAAAACTACCCTGCAAGGCTTCACACCAATCACATATAACTGTTACAATTCGAAAACGTGCCTAATAGCACTGACTAATTAGCAGTGAGAAACAAAAGTTAACGAACAAGTTCGTTTTTAATACTTCCTTCTCAGGCAAGTACACCACAAATGAATGACATGAATGTGAATATCCGATAAAGAGACGGGTTCAAAAATCCGGATGGTTTGAGCGGCCATTGAGTCAGTCATTTCGGGCTATGCATTGCACCGTCGAAATGCAAGTTTGGCTAAGTCTCACCCCTGCGCGGATATTTGGTGGTGATCAGCCAGAAGTCGTCGAGAAATGCAAGTAGCTTGGCAGCCATATAAGGAACCGCATAGCAAAAGCTCGAGGCGCTTTATCCAATCACCGCCACATGGGGCGCCGGCTCGACATCTCCTTCGCCTTGAAGGACAAAGTCTACAATATAGTCATCCGTTCAACACTTCTGTGCGGTTGCGAAACATGGCCCATCAAGTCAACTTACATAAAGAGGCTATTAACGCTCGATCGCTGCCTTGGCAAGTTTGCTCATGTCTGGTGGGAACACCCCGTGAACAATGAGCGAGTGAACCGTTCAGCGCCGTTATTTCAAGCAGTAGGCTCCGATGGCTAGGCCACAGATCGCGCATGCCAGCACACCGACTTTCACATCGTGCGTGGCTTGTTCGATCGGGGCGGGAATGGTATAAGAGAATAGGAGGCGACTTGGTCAAGTGGAATGAAGTCCCTCGCTTCGAAAATGACATCGGTTGGTGTCTCCAGACTGCCAGATCGGGGACCGCAGTACGATGAACATGTCTGATTGGATACATTTGTTGACATGGCAAGCAACCGACCTCAATAGCGCTTGTGTTGTGTTTATTTGGTCCCTCCCATCCAGTTTATGTCCGCCTCCAAACACGATCTCTGTCTTGAAGCATAATTATATTTAATAATAAGCAGTAAGACGCCTGTTGTTTTTTTATATATTCTGTAATGTCTAGTATGTTGATTTTTCAATTATGTTATCCAATTGTATTGCGGCACAAATGTTTAAGTGTGTTTCTCATCTACAGCGAATGTGTGCTGATGATGATCACACGAAAACGCCGCGAAATTAGTGGGTGGTTATTGTATCCAGTTGCGTAGGAAATGAAAGAAACAGCGGCACGCCGGCAGATCGCATGGAAGCTTCGTTGCAACCTGACAAACATCGATGACGCGTGTGATAAGTATACCATAAGATGGCCCCAAACACCTGTGAGGATTCGAGACGGTGATCTACCGCGAGTTCATAATCCTTTAGACAAATAGTCACGGTTGTTGCTCAAAATGCAATGTCACGCCATTTTCACGAGGAAACGAAATCCCTCATCCGGTTAAGTGGTAGCATCGAGAAAACAGTAAAGCTCAAAAAAAGTAAAAACCTTGGGCACAATTTCGTAGTCGATGAGAAGAGTTGAATAAACTGCACTTGGATGTCCTAAAGTACTGGACCGAACGCTAGCAACGTACAGCGCTGTATGTTTTTGAAAGGATAATCCAGGCACATGGTGGCATATGGTGAGAGATAAGAGACCCAAAAACGAGCAGGTCATTGTGTGGGAGCAAGATAAAAATAATTCGAACAAAGCAATGCACTCAAAGGTGTACTCACTCAAGTGGACGGAAGCTATGTGCAATTGGAGGTAAATTTTTCGAGTAAAGGACTTGTTACAGTACTCACAGAAGTGAGGCCGGTCATCTGGAACAGTAAGCAAGAAAGTACCATGCATACAGAACATGAATAAAGACAGAAAATTACGGCAAAGTTAATATCAATCAAACAATATAAATAAATATAAATAAAATAAACCTTGGCCCGTATTCTGTAGTAGGCTAAGTGATGAAGAGTAACCAGCGAATGTTACTCACAGTGCTTCTTAGGTTCGCTCTGGGTTTCGCGCACAAAACACTGCACCGCTCGAATCCTTCGAACACTAACAATGCAGCTAACGGTCTAACTTAAGTTAATTGATGAGGCACCTCGTCAACGGGCTGGTCCATAAACGTTCGAATAAATATTCCGTACGGGTAGTTAAATCCTAGTACACCGAGTGCAGAAATATGCCGATTTGCACAAAAGGGTCGGAGTGGTGTCTCCGGAGGCGACCACAGAATTTGCTCCGCGTAACCGTGGTATTACATACAAGAAGAAAGCACGACATGAACCTTACGAACTGATGTCAATACGAAAACAGAAACCGATATCCTAACTACACTGAGAACAATTGTACGAAGTCGCTTTGGATGCAAGATGGAAAACTGAGGGCGCCTACTTCGGTGGCAATCTAATCGAAGGAAGCAAATACAGTAATACTGATTGGAAATGCAGATGAAGTGAAATGTCAATGAGTTAGCTATACTCAGCAAAGGTAAACTAATGACATTTGCAATGGGTTAGCAGCAATGATAGGATTAGGAGCAGCCCGGAAGAGTTGAGATCTCAAATAAAAGTGGCGGTACCGGTGAAGCTCTAAACAGCTATGGGGCGTAGAATGCATTGTGTTGTTGCAGTAAAGTTGTTCCCATTGTGACTGCGATGGAGATTGACTAGTGGCACGCTGCAACGGCAAGCAACCAAAAGGAAGAAGCGATAACCGATGGGCTCTTAAACAAGCATGAAGCAATACAGCTCTTGCATATATTTCCCTGACCTGATAAGTATACACAAACATCTAGGTCAAAAAATATGTACATTATCTTACGTCAGTGTGTGGTATAAGAGGGGACTTCGCTCAAATCCATGAGTCCATCGTTGTCCGTTTGAGGAATATTGGGAATGAGATAAGACCTGGGACATGCTGTCGCCACACGCTGTGCGATATGCAATGCTGTTAGAAAATGATCTTGGCATCATTTGCATTCTTTGTGTGACATCCCACTGGTGATGTAGGTAAAGTGTCTCCACGATGTTAACTTGCATTTTCATAGAGCATTGTGGGGGTGCATGCATCCAACTGCCAACGCTTGTACCACGAAAAATTCGGAGAGATCGAAATGCGCGTAATGGCCCCATGACAGTGGCGTAATTCAACGGAACACATGAAAATCCATATACGCAAAGATACACAAGACTGATTAAGCGTTTTCACTGCGCTTAGCAACCTGTACATTAATCATCCATGTGGATTCCTCAGGAAAGTTGGGGGAAAAGACGATGCTAGAGCCCAGTGATCGTTGGTCATTCTCAATCACAATTATACCTCTACTGTCCACACTATCGATCGAACTAGTTACACTCGCAATCATCATTCAAAACGATCGTGATTGCGGTGAAGAAAAGTTACTTCTAGATCACCATGAACGTTGGTTTGCTTTAGAAAATTCGGTGCCTCCGGGTATCGGATAAAGGGTAGTCGCAATGGTACCATCTAGACGTGAGTAAGTGGTGAGCAGTTGATACAGCTGCACAGGAAACTTAATGTAAGATGGCACAACGTAAGTTCATCTAAATGTTGATAGAGAACCATATCGTGGAAGTCAAGTGGTGCAAAGACAACCTACGAGACAGTTCTAACAGTATCGCCATGTGTACAATGGAGATCAGCTGCGGTACAACCACAGCGACCTACAGAATGATAATATATGGGAGAGAAGGGGGCCTAGCGTCAAACTTTAATGCCGCAAGCAAATATTAAGGGTCTAGGTAGATACACCTCAACGACACACGGTCACAAAAGGCCGTTTATCGCGCAATGCTAAGGCGGTACAAATGAGACAGCTTCCTTGAAGCTTTCGCTGCCCCGTGCCCTATCGAACCATAACCCGGCAGGTAGCTCAGCACCAGACATACTAGAAGCACAGCTTGACAACAGCGAACGCCCCACTGTTGCAGACAGGCAAAAGGCGAGTCCCGCTGACTACAGTCTGGAAAGCAAGAGGGACCACCGGCACACAGTTTAATCTGCAATGATTTCGTTTCCAGCTGCCAAGATAACTTTTCCTCCGCATGAGCTTTGCACCACCCCACATTCGGTAAACAAAACAAAGCTCTCGTCGATAGGCGGTGACCGGACCTACGTGGCATGTACCCAATGCAATTCAGTCAACATTATTTGTTGAACTGAAGAACTAGCTTGACTGCTTCCACCTGGCACTCATCGACGCACATTAGCGCTGCGGACGGACTGGTGCCATCGGACACCAGCAATGGCTCGCTGGCTGCGATCATCAGACTTGAAAGTGGTTCACACTCTCAGACCGAAGGGGCCAATTCTCACTAACAAAGAGCCTTCGCTGTAGTCTGGTACACACGGCTTTTCGGACAGAGGGAAACTCTTTTGACGCCAGAGATGTAGCGGGTTCAAGAAGATTCCAGTTTTTGCAATATGTAAGCAAAGTTCCGCAGCTACACACTGGTCGCTGCTAATACAACTGACAAGGTAGATGAAATGGTTAACTACTTCGAAATGCTCGTCATTAAGAGGTCAACAAATAGCTAGTGGTCCTGCAACAGTAGTTTGCACTTTGTAGGAGCGAAGTAAATACAACTCCAGACAAAGTGTCTAGGTCTGACTGAGCCGCCTAATGACTGCCAAACAAAAAATCAATATGGTTCACAGAGTCTAAGTCAACAAACTTTCCATCAGGAGGCATTTCAATGCCCACCCTCATGGTGAGACCACGCGAGGGAACAATACATGATGGAATCCACAACAAAGTTGGACAAAAAAGGGAACTGGGGCAACCCTGGCAAGCGCCATTTGTTATAGAAAAGGCGTCTGACAATTTACCATGTACTTTGACGCAAAAGGTGATGTTCAAGTAAGGGAACGAAGAATTTTCACATACTTGATAAAAAAACAACTTGGTTAGGGAGGAAAGAGCAATCGACTGAACTGAATGCATTTTTGAAATCCTTGGGCCCAGATGCTATCGGAATGTGGTACGTGTGACACCACTTCGCAGATATAAACCTGTCTACCTTCCTCTGATCCAAGATTCCGGTAAGTCGACGGACGAAGATTGAGGAAGTAGTTCTATGACGAGCATCAGGCTGATACCACTGTGATCAGCACACTTCGTACGGCTGATGCTCTCACGAACAGTTAGAACGGTGGAGAAAATATGTATTCGAACGAAAAGTAACAATTCAATTTGGAGTTTCACAAAATCCGATTTTAGATTTTTTCGGTATTTCGACTGAAAGTTGTATGATGATAGAGTAGAACAACATTGATGTCACCGACATCTTGCGAGTCATTACAGCCAACATTTCCAACCACTGAAAGTCCGCGTCGCGTGGCCTTTAGCCTAAAAAACGGACTGGTCCGACTGATGCTTGAGCGGCCTTCTTCAAGCTCTTTTTCCATGCCATTGGCTACCTAAAGCGGACATTTTGCAACGGTTGCTGGGAAATGCAAAGAACACTCAATAGGAGACGACAGGACGGCAAGCGTAATACGCGACCGAGGAAACCATGTAATATCGGAGAATGACGTTCCAGAGGAAGCGATTGTTCGCTCCAAGTACTCAGCAACGAACTGCCCTTATTGCTAACGTGATGTTGAGGACACACAGGAGCAATCCTTCGCAGACGACTGTCAAAAACACAATCGCTTCTTGTCTTACAAGCGAACGGACCAGGTCTTAGCCTATCAAAGAACTATACAGACGGAGGAAGTGCACACCTTGTTCTTGAGAGTGACATCGCGGCGACGCCATACGAATTTCAGTTTGATACTTGAAAGGCGAGGCTTTTCAATTCGATGAGAAATCTTATCTCGAACACCGCCACTGGTCATTAACCAATTTTGCAGATAAGCCCCTTGCTCCCGAGTGAGTGCGAGCACACGCGCCTGAAGTAATGTTTTACACTCTGCTGTAGTGAAGTATAGGCCGTACTCGGATGTGTCCCACGCTAAACAGTTCAAAATGATGTGGACTGTTTGTGGATTGTCCTCTAGTAAAGCGATATCATCGGCGTAATCAGAGTACGCGACCCTGCTTTTAGGAAGAGTCTAAAAGCCGCGGTGTTAAACACCAACTGCTTGTTGGACATCATCCACAATGGAAACAAAGGAAGGTGAAATAAGGTAACGCTGGAGAACGTCGATTGTGACAGGAAAAGAGGAGGAAAACCTATCATAAGCCTTAAGTTTGCACGTGTAACCGTACAGTTCCTTCAGGATGGGTAGAAATTTGTCCGGCACACCTATCTACTGAATTAAATGCTGCCCGGATGTCCAAGAACACCAATTGTTGGTCGTCAGTGGGTATGGAGGAGTTAGAGAAGTTGGCGGGGCATGACGATTTGTTGACGTAACCACGACCTAGAAGAAAACCGGTTAGTTGCTCTAAGGAAAAAACTCCGTAGTAGTTGAAAGCCTGCGAAATCACACCGACGCAGGAGAGAGCAACGAAATTTCACGGTAATTTGTGCACTCATCGTGAGTGCCTTTCTTGTGGAGCAGGATAGCGACTGTATCGGGAATCTTCTCATCAGTCCAAACATTCATGAACAACGAGGACTTCGTTAACACGTAGACTTTCGTCAGGTTTGAATAGAGGGTGCTAAGGATGGAAAATTAATGACGTTTCAAAGGTTCGAATGAGCTTCGGTTCTCTAGCTCGGTAGGAAGAAAAGTATGGATAGGCCGTACCATCAGTGCTCTGCACAACAATTTAGGGGCTTGCACAGGTTGGCGACGTTCGTGCCACTTCACAGATTGTCTGGTTGATATCGTGTGAATTGCAAGCGGTGGTTTTAATGTGGCCATGTAAGCTATGACAGATTCCAAACCAATGCATTTCAGTAGCTCGTTGTGAGCACTAGGATTAGCGAACAGAGAAAAGGATCGCCTCCACCTGTTGAGAAACAAATCTGAGTAGTACGCCAAGTTCATCGCCGGAGAGCACATGCAGAGGATGTTGCCGATACATCCATTAAGTTGTGTAGCGTGCTACGTCATATTCGAACAGACAATCCGGTTCACGGGCTTCACCCAAGATGCTATAAATGAAGCAATAATTGATTAGGAGTAAAATTACATATGTGACTACACCTATTCCTAATTCGTTGCATCGTTCCCCTAAATGTTTGAGTCGGTCACGCTTGAAGCTGCATCGCGTGCATCATGTGACACATTGCACGTGTGCACTCGTATGAGCCATATGGATTGTGTTAGGGAGGTGAGATCACGTGATCGCCTTGCAAATGATTACACTGAAAACAGTCCATGAGCATGGCATACGAGTGTACACGTGCAACGTGTCATAACTCACACGATGCAACTTCAAGCGTAACCGATGCAAACATTTAGGGGAACGATGCAACGAATTGAGAGAAGGTATGGCTGTTTATGCACACTGCTGACTAATACCTTGCTCAGGAAGGGAAGATGCCGCCACTGCCCCGAAGGCAGATCTGCAACCTCCGTTCAGAGAGTTCACAAGAGCGTGTTCCTCAGTCTTGCACGCCTGATCAGAAATACACTGAAGTTTGGAATCCAGTGAGTCCTTCTCTTGACGACCCGGCAAATCACCATTCGTTTTCCCATTTGGTGACAAGCTTGACATATATGCTTCCGTAAGCAAGGGCTTCGGTCTTCGCACATAAATAATCAAAGGGCGTTTCATCTGTGCACTCTGCTGAGCGTCACCCTGATAAAAAGAAATCCAAAGAACACAAGTAGTCAAACAATGAGAAAGCAGCTCAAGTTGTTCTCTGACTTGACTAAATGCTGGCAAACAATTCAAACAACAGGTAGCAATCATTGAACCTTTAATCAACCTAAATAAATACCAGGTGGAAAATAGTAACTAGAAATCCTTTAATCAAGCTGGCTGTGCACTTGGGATGCTATTAGCATATGTGGTCCAAATGTTGCTACATCAAGAGCTGCAAAATAGTACGAAACACATGAGCACTGGAGCCTTGGCCAGTCCCATCCGGTCACGCAAATCCACTGGATCCCAAACCTAATAGATCCATCGCAACGAGATTGGACCTTAGCGAGGTGCGATGGTTTGCATACCCCTGTGAACTTTTGAGATAGGCTGGGTGGCACTTTCCAAGTGCCTTCAGAGCCACACATACCAGACAGGTCAATGGTTATGGGTCAGAATAACTCAGTCTCACAATAAAATCCTCTTCAGTTAGGGAGAGGTCGATGGCCCAATTTCATTAAAATCTAACCATGAGACAAGAGATCTACCGGTTAGAAGCTCACAGCTCGATTGACGTAGAGCACGAGCGCCACACATTGTCTTAGACGGTGGGAGCGCACCTCCCGGTGCTTAATAGTTTTCTGCCGCCCGCTTCAAGTCAGGCAGCCCCTAGTCAAATTGGCGCAAATCCGCCAACTCTTACATGCGACTGGTGGTGGTCGCAGGTGCGCAATATAATACCGCTGTAAAACACGAATACACTATTTCGGATCTTCAAAGGCTGTGTGTGATAGGCCTCGCCAAGATCCCATTAGGTCTATGCAATCACACCCCCGAGCTGGACTTTGTCCCCATTGCCTAGTGGGTCAGGCCAGTGAGCCAAAGGCTCCGAGTGGAGTCCCACAAGCGAACCTCCACACACATACTACCTTGTGGATCAGACTGTTGAGTCGAAGACTAGAGGCAGGGCACCACGGAAAAAACCCTCTCGGAATGGGCAGCTGGAGAGCATCATCTGCCCTCTCGACAACATCGACAATACTCCCTTTTCTGCTAGTTTTTCCCCGCTTGCTTATCTTCTTCCCCATCCATTGAGCAATAGAATGCCGCTGACCTTGCACCTACTACCATTGATACACGCAGCACTTCCATCAGACCTAGAGTTTCATTTCACATCGGCTCTTTTAACGCCCTAACTCTGGTTAGATCGGTCAGTAGGTAGTACTGACCCACTCTTCACTCACGGTAATGATGTGTGCTGTGTGTCCGAAACACGCATACAAGTGTAATGACAAATTTTTGATTCCCTGCTGCTGAATCTGACGACCATGGATAAACTTAGCATCTCTGGCGATGCTGAGTCAAAGGTTCAGGGTAGTTACGGTGTTAGTATTGCTCTCAGCAAAATGTTAAAGGCAATCTGCTCGATTGGATACCGGTGAACAACTTCATGTGCGCGGTTCGACTTCGAACCTTTACTGGTTATTAAGCAGCGTCTGAAGACAAGGTGCCTTTTCATCGCCTCAGTTTATGCCCCCAATGAATGCAATTCAGAAGGCATCAAAGAAGAGTTTTATCAACAGCTCTCATCTCTTCGTCGCATGACGTAGAATACTGAAGTCTTGATTGTTGCTGGTAACATGAATGCACAATTGCGTCGTCTTTCAGGCTCTGAAGCATAACGGAACAGCCGCTCCGGAGTCGATGCAAGCCAGTCGATTCTGGAGACTGTGCGTCTACCATAACCTTTACCTTAGCAGCACAAACGTTCACAAGGCGTCAATTGGTGCCCAGAGAATTACTTAATGGCCTGGATCCAAATTGACCACTGCGACCAGCGACAGATGCCGCACATAAATACAAGATCATCGGGTAACTTGGAGCACATGCCTGGACTCCGAGCACACTCTAGTGAGTGCATGCTTGGCGCTCACTCACCGCGCTTCAAAGAAGCGCCTATTTTCTAAGCTTCTCATTTGTAACTGGGACTCGAAATCTGCAGTTCTACATCATAACAAATTACCCCACCAAAAACCAGTGATAAATGATATTGGTGAGCAAAGAACTGACTGGGATCGTCTAAAGTATGCAATGAAGAATGCTTTTGAGGCCTGCTTTGCATACATTTTAAAATGTCTTAACTGTGAATGGGTCTCTGAAGCATTGATCAGTCGGATAGAAGCACGGAAACAGGATCCATGGACATCATGTTTCTGCGTGTCTGTAACTCCCTGAAACGACGTCTGACAAAGAGACTGCGAATCGACCGGGAAGGTTGGTGGGTGGTAAGGGGCGGTGAAATGGAGAAAGCCAATCATCATCCTCATCATACACGTTAGCTAGAGGTGGGGAACATCTCAGCTACTGTGCCGCAATACGTAGAAAAAAAGGAGAAAAAAGCAACTAGTGCAAGCCGGCTGAGCTACCGGTAACGGGTGGGCATCATTCCGGTAAGCTACCAGCCGGCTTCTGTGCATCAAAAAATTACTATGCAAAATTATAGAAGGTTAAATAATGAGACCGTGGTTGGAAGGGGAGGCTAAGAGGGATGGGGAGGGACAAAGAAACTCACAGCAAGAACGCCACTGAGGTCAGCTTCTAACAATATCAGCAAGTGTGTCCAACCAAAGGTGTTCATCGTCTTTCGGACCCCAACCAGGGAGCCGAGACGCTCCAACTGAGGCCAGCTCCGAAGTGAGGGCCTTCATTCCTCTCGACCAAGTCATCGCTTGGCCACCCCTCTTCTTCCTCCATCCACACCCCCGGCGCGCAAACAACGCACGTCGCGGAAGTCGGTAGGTTGGCATGCGTAACACGTGGCCGAGCCACTGGAGCCTGGTGCGTGAAATAATGGTGCTGAGCGGTGCAGTTCCTTTTCCTGTACCGTAAACAAGACGTCGAACAAGCTCGTTGCTCACGCGGTGTTCCCACCAGATGCGAGCTAAATTGCGAAGGCACCGGTGGTCTAACGTAACTAGCCTCTTCAGGTCCGTTGCTTTAAGGGGCTAGGTTTCACAACCGTACAGCAGGGTCGAACGTGGCTGGCTTGCCGAACAACTTCCTCGTGGTGCCAGCTGGGTGCTTCGGGACAATCCCGTTCCAGCGAATGGTTCGGCGGCAGTGTTCCAGGAGGTGGTGGGTTTTCGCCTGTCAAGCGTTCTCCCTATAAAAAGCCACATATGTCCGTTTAACAACACTGTGACGTGGCGGATGTGACTCGCCACTAAATAAAGTCACTGCTCCTTGCCTCTCTCTGAGTAGCATTGTAATTCAAGGGTGTGTTGGGCCCCTGGTCCTATAGGGTCCTAAAGGCGTATGAACCACTCGTTTGGTCACCGGCTCCCAACGGGTTGCGATACCCTCATATCGCCCTGCTGCCTTGTAGGTTAGATCCTTGATCAAAGGCTAGGGGTAGGGCCCTCTAAGACAACCCTCTACTTCGGCCTGGGCAACCGGGTAGTATGTCGCCCACTGATGAACAATGGACTCACAACCACAACCATTCACCCGTTGTTTTAGTGCTACCATGCTATTCACTCATGCCACTATGCCAACTGCACAAGCACACGCCACCATTTTACCTATGACCGCAAGCAGCGGTTCTCGAAGACAGACAGTCGATGTAGGTCACCGGTACATAAGGGTCGTCCCGCAACCATACAGCGCGGACAGTAGCAATACAAACCCGTCATTTGATAGAGAGACGAATGTCATAGCAGCGCTAAAAATACCGCAGCTTCGAGAAAGAGACGAGCATTGAAAAACGCATCCAGGTCTCGTTTCTAACTGCTCCACCAGTTGTTATGCAACTTCTCACGTAGACAAACCTCTGTACCACTTTAAGGTTTCCCCATCGATGGTAAGTGCAAGCAGTTGCGTATACCAGCCTTAAAATCGCTTTGCACTTGGATGGTGAAACGTTCGTGACATACATCGAAGCTTCACTCACTAGCCGGTTAGGTACAATTTGCACGGCCTGCGGACCGTCAACGAGCAAGGCAATATGTCATCATATATCATCATCATCAACAGCCGTATATCAGCCATTGAACTGATGCTTCACTGCAATACAACAATGATGAACTATGGAATAAAGAATAAGAAGATTGAGAGAAGGGGGACTTATCTGAAAACCTTAATGCCTTAAGCAAACATTCAGGGTCAAGGCGCCTACACCTTGTGTAGACAAAATGCCGTCACATACAGCTGGCTATCGTGCAAAGATAAGGCGGCATCGGCGAGACAGCTTGCTTATGGCTTTCACTGCCACGCGTCATAATCAGCCATTACCCCGCAGCTAACTCAGCACCAACCACACTTTAAACAGGCAATCCAATTGGGAGACGACAGCAGACGCGCCACTGGAGTCTACTGCGTCTCATGTCCTGTTAAGTCTGAAGCCAAGCACGAGGCAAGTCACGTGGACTCCAGCTCGGAAGACGAGACGGACCAACGGCACTCAGTTTGGTCGTCAGTGACTTCATTTCCCGCTGCCAAGTCCACTGATGTCCACCGCGATCCTTGCGCCTCCCTACACCTGGCAGACTAAACAAGGCTCTCCCAGGGAAGCGGTGACCAGGCATACGTAGCGCGTGCCCGAGCAAACGCAACTAATTCAGTGCTATTTGTTGTTCTAGGGAATGAGCATGATTATCACCACCTAGTACTCGCCTACGCACATCATCGACGCGGACACGCTGGTGCCATCCGACACCAGCAATGCTTCGCAGACAACGATGATCAAAGACTCGAAGGCGCGTCAGATCTTCAGACCGAAGGGGCCAAGTCTCACACCCATAGAGCAAAAGGGCCCTCTTTGTGGCCTTGTATCCACGACCTTGCAGACGGAGGGAAATTCCCTTCTGTCGCCAAAGATGCCGCAGGTTCAAGAAGGTAGCTCTGGCCTTCACGATGCGTAAGCTGACGTCAGTTGCTATACGCCCATCATTGCTGATGCAGCTACCAAGATAAGTGAAATGGTCAACTACCCCGAGTTCCCCGTTAGCAAGCGTCAAGGGGTCATCATGTGGCTGGTGTTCCTGCAGCAACGCTTTGCACTTTGAAGGTGCGAAGGGCATACCAAATAATGGGACCACGCTGGACAGGCT